GCCCACATGGAATAAATGCAGTTGTCCTTGTTTCCTCTGTGCTTACTTTCACCTTCTGCTAATGTGATTTGGGTGACAAGATTTTTCCAAACGCCAAATTAAACTAAACGGCAGTTTGGTGCAACAGATAAAGAAGGAAAATGAGTATCTGGCAGGCTTTTGACAAATGACTAATGCGTGCATAGGGCAGATTCCGAAACACATAACCCTTACAGTGTTGTAGAAAAGCAGGCGAAGGAGCTTAACCCATGCACACAGGTCGAGTCCTGCAGCAGCGGGGGCTCTGCGCTTCACTTCCTCCTCTGGCTGACTTTTGGCACTCCAAGGAGAAAAGGTCAGGGCTGGGGCTGGCTCACGCCACTCATGGGAAAACACAAATGGCTGAGGGGAAGGAGGGAGCTGGAAGAAGACCTTGGCACATCAGGGATGCTGTCCCACCACCATCAGAGGAGGGGTGGGAGCAGGGACAGCAGCTGGTACCCTCCCATCCCAGCCTCTCTCTTGCAGCACTGCTACCCAGCCTGCTTCCCAAGCCCTGGTGCAGCTACAATCTGTAGCAAAGCCATCACCGTTTTTCAGCTGCTTCCTTCACCGATGGTGAGAGCCAAACTTGACTCGTGGTAACACTCCCCATGCCTTGGCACCTCGGTGCCCAGAAGAAGCTCCATTCTTTTTCATGAAATGAAGACAGCGTTTTCATTTTTCCACCAGGCTTAGCAAACCCACAGCACAGCAGAGCAGACCCACAGCAGAGCAGACCACCCACAGCTAAGATACGACCCACAAAGGGGGCATTGGTGGGGCTGAGCACAGAGCCGGGCACCCACCGTGCAACCAGCCTGTCCACTGGCAGGTCACCTTGCACACCCCTCGCGAGGCCACCTGAGCACTTGTGGAAACCAAAGCACGGGGCTGGGAACTTGTGTAGCTGAGAGGGATTAGAGCTGCTGTGCCCTACGTGCTGTAAGTTTCCACTGCTTACGTGCTCGGAGGGAGCGAGTTCCTCCTGCCGAGCATGTGACTGTCTAAGTCCTGAGCTGCTCAGTGCCTAGCCCACACCTCAGCCCCATTTGGATCCACACACACTGCGCAATACCTTCACAGATATATTTATCAGGCTAAAAAAAGTTCCGTTTAGCTGTTTTATTGGCTGGAAGGCCCAGCTGCACTATCTCGGAGGAGAAAAGAGGCCACCTGGAGCTGCAAAATAATACTGAGGGTAGCGCGCTCGTGGGAGGCTGGGTACTGGGTAGAGTGGCAGAATTCCTACAGTTCATAAATGACTCATTTTCATCCTGCAACCCCTCCCCCAGCTGTGCAAGAAAGAAAAAAAAAAAAAAGTTCTACTTTTTACATATTTCCCAGAATACGCGATTTTACTCGACGCGCATTTTACACTCCTGTTTTGAAAGGGATTCCAGCCTAGTGGGACAAACTCATTCTTGGAATAACTTTCAATGAAATCAGGAGTTACAACTGCACTGGCTTTGGCACAACAAGTCCTCAGGATATCGGTGGCTGCTGCAGTCATGTTTTTGTAGGCAGTCTGGATCTACTAGTTTTCCTAGTATAATAATTGCAGTAAGAACTGCGATGTTTTGTAACCAAACTAGTTTATACTGGCAAAAGCCCGGCTTGGGATGATAGAGGTGACTTACGTTGTTAAATTTCTTTCAGTTCTTATTTGGGAGTTGCTGTTCTATTATAAAATGTCCTTACGCTGGCTGCACGATAGGTGGGGATGACCACTTCTGCGTTGTCACAACCGTACCATTTTCTACCACAAGCAAGATAAAACATCTGAACAATTGCTATATTTTGTACAACACATGTTTTGGGGAAAAAAATAAACAACTATCTTAAAAAAAAACAGAATAGATTGACACCCTAGGTTAGCCTGCAAGGCAAATTCTGCGTGATGTCAATAAAACATTAGGCACAAAAAGTCCCAGATATTTTTTCACTATTTCTACCAGGCTTGGAATCTTTATTTCATAAGCTCCGTGTGCAGCCAGCTGCATGAAGCCAGAGCCCATGTATTTTTATTTTAATTTCTGAGATCTGAGCTAATCTTGTTAACAGCATGCAGAGAAATTGCGTGATGTTCTGTCGGTGATGCTGCTTGGTATCACACCCGTTTAGCACTGCATCACCACTGCGGTATTTATTGTTATAGCACTGTCACTGTTGGCGCTGCCTGGCCAGCCCAAGGGGCAATGCCAATGCCAGTTTGGCTGTGGACAGCCTAAAGAAGTTTTGGAAAGAGGATGCTCACTGTGAGCACCTCAGTGTGCCAGAGAGCATGGAGTTGCAGGGATAAAAGCAAAGAAGGCACAGGGGTTCGTGTCAATGCCTCCTCGAAGGTGAGACTTCACCTTGCGTTGTGCCAGTGAGAGAACGGAGCTGGGCTCTGAAGGCTTGGGGAAGCAGAGGCAAGCAGTTGTGTTTGATGGTTTAAGATTAGGGGAAACCCAATCTGTGCTTGCTGAGAGCAGTATTTCTATACGTACAGCATGTACCTTATAAGAAATACAGATCGGTGCTGTACTGTTGCTTAAAATAAGCCCCAAGATAAGTCGCACAGCATCACAGCAGATACAGGAGCGCTGCAGGAGGAGGAGGGGTCTCTGCAGGCACCGGGCAGGTGCTGTCAGGGAAGAAGGGCTCGGAGCTACCTGAACGTGCAGATTGCTTTGAGTAGCCAGTGATGGATTACAGCAGTGAGAATCAGGTCATTTGGCCCCGAGCCTCCCCCGGCCGACCTGCTTCCTGAGGCGACTTGCAGCTCGCAGCAATTAGGCCGCAGGCTGGAGGAGTTTAATGAGGGCTGGCAGGCTCTTCTGGCACCCTGCGGCCGCCTTTCTCCTGGGAGTGGTGTGCGCATCCTCCACGGGACAGCCACAGGACATGGGACAGGGGAAGGTGGTGCTGGTGACAAACAGCCCCTGTCAGCAATTCAGTGGCCGGCGGCTCCTTCACATCATCCCCAAGGGCCATGCTCCTTCCTGCAGCAACCTGCAGGGCAGCCAAACCACCCCGCCTGCTCTGGGCGTGCAAAAATCAACCTGCTTGCACACGGTCATCACAGCATGCATGGGGTGGGGGCTTCTGCTGAGATCAGGGTGTCGGGGGAAGGAGCAGCTCTGGGAGAAAATGTCAAGGAAGAGGCACGTGCGTGCCTCTCAAGGATGCTGCAGCAACCAAGGTATGAGACGAGGAGAGCATAACACAGGTTGGCTTGTGGAGCTAGCCAGGAAAAAAAGACCGTGTCTTGTAGATGCTGTCCGAAAATAGTCTGCCAGACTAAAAATAGCATGGATGTCAAGGCTTAAAAAGGGATCAGGGCGCAGGCCTCTGAAGAATGAGAAAGTCATGAGTTAGAGAAAATCAGCCTGAACTTCGCAGCTCATAAAAGAGAAGTGAGTGAATTACACTGAATCCTACTGCCTCATCACAATCTCCAGGAACCTGAGCCAAAACAAGCACAGCTTTATTTACTGTTTGTTTTTTTTTTCATTTTTCCTGGGATGTGCGAACTGAAGGCCCTGTATGCCAGACCTTCTCATGTACAAACTGTGCTTCCTGCTCACACAGGCCTCTTCTGCCAGCACGTCGAGCACCTGCTTTCACGGCTACCTCAAAAAACCACCCGTAGGACTGAAAAGGGGAGAAGCGAGCAGCCAGCTGTGCCCGGAGGAGCAGGCTGTGTGCGGATCCCACTGCTTTCTGCAGGTCACACACCCGCCTCAGGTTCATGGGGCTTTGCAAAGCGTTTCGTGTGCCACTTTCTCCTGTCAGTGGGTTTGGATGCCCAGCAAGTGAGGTGAGCAGCAAGAAAACGGCTGGTGCCATCCTCTTGAATGAGATGTGAGCAGCTGGTGGCATGGCTTGGTACCGCCAGAAGTGTGGCTAGCTGCTGGGGGGCATTCGGGACCCCAGTTGTAGACTCAGGACCCGTAGTTCAGCATAAATCCTGCTCAGGTGCTCTAATCTTTCATCTGATTTAACCCTGAATCCCTACTCAGGGGTATTAAGGGTTTAATTTGTCATTTGCAACGGGACCCAGAGAGGTGAAGAGCTTAAGGTGAAAGGACAAGGTAAGCAGAGGAGCTGCAGCAGAGGCTGCTCCTCGTCCCTTCTGGTGGACGGCACAGCCCTGTATTGGTGCTGAGCATCAATACAAGCACAGGACACGAGCTGGCTCAGCACGGAGGATGCAGTGCTTGGCCCTTGGAGATGCCTCAGAGACACAGGGCAGCTGCAGGAGGAGCAGGCAGGCTGCTGGGGCAGCTGCAGCACCTCCTGGGGCTGTGGGCAATGCCACACCGCCCGCTGCACAATGCCAGGGTCATGGTCCCTCCTTGCTGGAACAAAATTTGGCAGGGCAGGGTGCAGGTGGTCCTGGCGATGCACAGCGTGCACTCTTCTGCCTCAGCAAGGGCTAGGGAGTGGTGGTGCTGAGCGACCTCCTTGCACCCGCCACTTTCATGCACGTGGTTTCTAGCAGCTAGGAAGGAAGGAGTTGTTTCGATGCTGCTTTAAATGCTGGGATGTTGACTGCCGGGTGTTGGCAATGGAAAGGAGAAATCCTCTCCTCACTCACGTAGTAGTGTCCTGCGGTACGGACTGGTTTGGGTTTGAGTTAATGAGAGCAAACATCTGAATTGGTAGGTTCTCGCCTCTTCCTTCCTTCTCGAGCACTCTCAAACCAGGATGCCACACGCTCAAACCAAACCGCTTCCTTGCGAGCATCTGTGCTACAGCAGCTTATGAAATTCAGATGTGCAGAATCACTTTCTCCAGGTACCCTGGTGCACAGCAGCAAGGTACTCTGACAAGGGATCTGAGGGAATCCAGTGTTTGCTTCTTTGGACAGGCAAGAACCTTATTCTTAAATCCCGAATAAGATGATTATCAAGGGGGTGTTTGTGCCCATTCTTGTTTGGGGGGACTCTCCTTTCCCTTTGCTGCCATGACTCATTAAACTCGTTAAACCAGAGTATGCTAAGCAGGAGAAGATTTAATTACACAGCAGTTGCAGGACAGTGATGGAATTTCTGTTTGACAGGCAAGGACGGCTCGATCTCCGGAGCTGTTTAGGTGTCAGCGTAGCCAACTCCATCCGTAAGGCTGGGCAAGCTGTACCAGGCACTGAACCAGCAAGGAAGAAGGTGAAATACGTGCCAGGAACAGGCTCAGGACACCGGTGGTTTGCATAAACAGACCAAAAATGTGCCTGTCGTGGCTGCGTCTGGGTCGCCGCGAGGAAACATTATCTGGTGAACCAACAGCCTCGCGCTGCACGGTGACCTAGATAGGAAATACGATGCAGGGAGGGAGCCGGTGAGCCGGTGCGCTGCTGTAACACACGTATCAGGTTATTTGCTGTTGCTTTTATCTGGCCATAAGAGTTTAATAGTCAATAAACCACTTGGAAGCAAGTCCTGGCCGCTCCCTTCCTTCTCAGGCACTCTCCCGACGACAGAGTGTGCAGCCAGACAAACTTCTGAGCAGCACGCTGCAGCGCTGAGCAAAGCAGTAACAAAATATTCTGACAACCACGCACGGTGCACATGGCAGCTACGTGTGCACCGCTTAAAAAGTACAGCCTTAAGGTTGCTGTGAAGCTGCTCGGAGGGATTACACCAACCTGAGGGCGACTGCTCTTCTGTGCATGTAAGCAGGTTTGTTTATGTAAACTCTTCCCACTCTGGCATCTGAGATCCCAGCAGACAAGGAACCACACATCTTGAGAAAGGCAGAAAACCGGGACTCAGAGGCTGTGTCCTGGAACACCTCCTCTCACAAGACGCGTGGGCTCACCCGAACCCCTCAGTACGCATAATCCAGACGTTTGTTAAGATGTAGGCCTTCAGCAGTGCCAAGTGTTCCCAGAAAAAGCAGCCTAGCTTCAAGTAAGCAGGCTAGGGTCGTTTTGCTCGCTGGAATCAAAAGGCAAAGGGAATGGGTTTGGAGCTCATGCACACTACTGCATGAAATCTCTTCCACTTTTTTATGTTTTACCGTGGTGTATTTAAAAGCCACAGACATGACCAAGTTTTCTGTGATCAGTTGTTTTTTTCCCTTTGTGATTTACCATTTAATTAGTACACATCATATACTCCAGCACATGTAAGATCAGATGGTTCTGCTCTCAAAACTCCACCATAAAACCTTAGCACACCGAGAGAAGTACAGTTCTCACACAGACAGCACATCTCCCATGCCTGTAGAGAAGCTGTATCTGGATGATGCTCTGAGGAAGGCAGAAGGATGACAATCTTGCAGGGCAATGGCTCAGTGCTCCTACATTACCATTTAAATTTTATAACAACAGAATAAAGATTTCCTTTAACGCTGACACTGCTGGCAGGAAGAAAAAGGTTTAAAGATTGTGGATCAAAGGTTTTTGGGCTCAAATACTAATTTACCTACAGCCCAATTTGCTCAATATGCAGTCTGCGAGCAGGCAAATGATTTTTCATTTTTCATTCTTCTGTAGCCAGCACATTGTCTCCCAAATTAGCGATGTTGGTTCCAAAACATGCATTTTCTCAAAGTCAACCCTCTTTCCTACATGTATATTTTCAGATTTTCCCCCCACATAATTAAACAGATAATAGAGAATTCCTCTTTCAATTGCATAACAGAGATATTGATATTTCCATGATGCAGAGGTGTCAGAAGTCAGACTCAAGTTCTATTTTTCAATCACATTTTTAAAGTTACTTCTTTTGCAAATACTACGTGAAGCTTGACCCCAACCAATTTTTGTCCCCATTGAAGCTGTAGATAAATCTTGAAAGACGTAGTGTGACTAACTTGTGTAAGACAACACTTTTTAACCTGCTGTCCCAGTAAAGAAACCTATGTCGATGAAAAGGGGTAGGACTTTTTTTTTTTCTTGTTTCTGTAGCAGTCAGCTGGTAGCTTTTGATATTTACATATTTTTTAGACACAAAGCTTGAAGTGTTTTGCTCTTAGAACTTACTCTAGAGTTACATTTGTGGTTAGCCTGTCGCAGTATTATCACACACACGTGACAGTCCATCTGAGCAATTAAAAAAATTCTACATGGTAATTAACGCAGTAGGGAATGCTACATAACTCTTGCAGCATTTATTGCTATTTTCATTGATCCCAGTGAAAGCACTCCTCTGTTTATTCTGAATAGTGAAAGATGCCTTCTCCTCTTCAGGAGGGCTTCTTGACCACTGGATCCGTATGAGAGGAAAGGAACTGCTGGTTCTGAACTCCCCCTGCATGGGACAAGCCAGTCTTGCCCTACCTATGCCCATGGTGTAAAATTGCCTTCAGTACCAAGAAGGTTCACACAGGGAGAAATCATCGGCGCAGCAGCTTCTGTGTAGGACCTAAGGGAATTTCTCTCCTTTTTGGAAGGCTTTTGGGAAGAGCCTTCCGATCCCAATGATTCCCAGTTCTCCTCCCCACCTGCCAGCAGACCTCATCTTTGACACAAAGAGGGCCTGCTCCCGGCGCCAGTTCCACCACATGGCTCTGTAACACCCCGTCTGCTGCCTCCATGGGAGCGCAGTGCTGAGCCGCGGCACGGCGTTGCAAAACCTCCTTGGGGATGAAGACCTCCTCTATTTATAGACCGCTGATGAGGCTAGATGAGTGTTTCCAGAGAGCGTTCTGGAAGGGCTCCCGTCTGGCTGTGCTGAAGGCTGACCAAGGGAAACTAGTTTGCTACCTTGCTTCACAGCTTTGCCCTGCAAGGAGCATTCGCTAGACCTCTGCAGTGAAATATTCAGTGCATGAGGCAAGCATTCGGTGTTACGCATTGGCATTTATGAACCTTCAAAGACGTTTTCTTCCTTACATGCCTCTTCCATATCTGGATCACAAATGCAAAATCGTACCCTCTAACACGACCCCACATTTGCAATTAATTTTTATTTTAGGTCTGTGATTCAGTGCTGTCTTAAGATAATATAGAGCGAGAATTTTTAGCTTCCTGCTGTAGCTTTTTCTGAAAAAGATTCAGTCTCTTGAGGCTGATATTTTTAAATCAAATATAAAGTTCAATTAAAAAAAAATGCAGTGCAGAATGTTGCTCTACAAAGATATGATTTAGCGTTTCTTTTACTCGTGACATATGAAATGAGGAATATTGCTTAAAATAGGGGAGAAATGGTCACCCTAGTTAAAATAAGGTGAGGAGCAGGCTGGATGTGCAGAGCAGGCATATCCACAGACACACAAGCCTTTGTGTGTATATGAGCTGGCCACGTTTGGCCTCCCACATTGATAAGTTGCTGTTTGTTTAAAAGAAAAAATGAAAATGAAAGCCCTTAACTACTCCTGCCCACAGCACGTGGCTTTTATTGGAGGCTCTGTTTGCACAAGGGAGGAGTTTTGCCTCCCACCCAAATTTTGACAATGCTTACGATTTGGTAAATAGGTGAGGATAGTTGCTATCTATTCTTTGCCTGTTCCCTCCAGTCCAATCTCCATCTATATCCTAGAGCGAGGAAACTGTAATCAGAGGAACCCTTCTAGGAATCTCATTTAATGAAAACTCCTAAACGAGGCCCTAGCACTGGACGTAGCCTGAAATTAAAAACAAAGCAAAACAAACTTAAAATATAAACCAACCCAACAACCAGAAGAAAGAATAATGCCAGGGAGAAAACGTAAGCCTGATAAAACAGTAAGGAAAAAAGTGAAACCTGCCCCCTGCAAAGATAAGCATTATCGTCTTCCATTGCGCTGTGGGTGGATGAAGAATGTGCAAATTGCTTGCTGACCTGTTTTTAGCTTCTGCATAAAAATAAAAGGCCATTTCTTCTACTACCAATAAATGCCACCTTATCTCCAGGTCACTAATTAGCTAGCTGGGTGAGCAAGGAACAGGTTCAGGGGTAATACTTCTGGCAGTGACAAAACAATGCAGCGTGATAGAAAGGCTCAGACGCGCCCCAGCCCTAATTACAGCTCTGTAACACACACTACTGCTCCAAGAGAAAACCCAAGATGTTAATAATTCATATTCAGCCGTGTGTTTGCAGGAACTCCTGTTAAGTTTAATGTTCCGGGACCTGGTATTTAGGTAGCACTTTGTATAAATACACACAATTTCAACGTCATGTTTTCCTAGTCACTAACAGCACCATGACCATTGACAGAGATTAAATGAATAGTGCCAATTTAGATCATGCAGGGGGAGAGCAACAAATGTTCATAGAAATATATGAATTTAAATTACTACACATCCACTGTACTCTTGTTTTAGTAAATATCTGTTCTTGGTATAAGTTAAGTTGCTCGGGAAGTACTTTAAAACATGTTGAAATTTCCTACCTTGATATTGGACTTGGAGTATGTGCACCGAGGGTTGTGCTTGTTAGCAGAGGAGACAAGGAGATGTCGAAGCACCAACGTATTCAGTATTTATCAGGATCACAATTTTTAATACCATATTTGTTCAGTTCTAAAATCTTAAGAACTATTTTAATCAACAGACAGAACCTCTCAACTGCTAAAATCTGAAGGATAACCTGTAAAATGACCTGTAAAAGTCCTTGGCACGCTGTTCACAGAGCCAAAAGCACAAGGCACCTCTCCCCACATCCTCAGACAGACAAATGGGCCAATGCCAGCCATTGCCATGTCCTAGTATATCACAACACCCTGCAATTTGGGCCCGCTGATTCTCTCCATACAGTTCGAACAGGTCACTTGGAAAGCCTTCCCTCTGTTAGGGACGGAGTGGAAATGGGTCAAGTTATATAATACGAAGTAAATAAGGGTGAAGTTTCATGACACGGCTGAGTCAGCTTACTGTTCTGACTTGGGTGGTCCTGCTTTTCCCTCCCTGACTCCTGGCCCTGCTGGTCCACACCCTCTCTTGCACCACATCAAACCACACGGTAAGCCGATCCAACTTGTTAATCCAACAGAAAACTATTCTCTTGAACTGACTCACCAAAGGGCTAGACAAGCGTGGTGCTAAAGTAAGGCAGGGTGAAGGAAGATGCTGCTGGAAGCAGCCTCTTTTGGTGGGCAGCTGCTCAACACCATGACTTAAATTTGCCCAAACTAAAGACGATGTTGCAGGAGGGCACAGGAGGAGCACTGACAGCAAATGGAATGGCAAGTCTGTGTCTTTGGAAAGGGTGGAAAGCAAGAAAAGGCATCAGTAAGCCCTTGGGATAGGGGGGACAGCGAGGAGGGCAATGTGGGAGAGCAATAGGACATCCTGCCAATGCATCAGAGAGGCCCCAGGCAGTCCTGGGACAAGGGGAAATGGAGTGCAGGAGAACAAAGTCTGAGCTGTGCTGAGTTCACCTACACTGGGAGGACACTTTATGGTTTAGGCTCGCAATGCTCATGCACGTGAACACGTATGTAGGCAGCCCTGGCAAAGGTGAGCTCTTCAGGACAGATGTGCAAGCCTGATAGTTCTAACAAAACATCAACTATTATATCATATTCCCATTGTTCGAGACAAGGGGGAGGACACCATTGTTCACTTAGAAAACAAACAAAAATGAAGCTTGTCCCCGTTCTTCTCACTAAATTGCCTCATAAAAAAAAAAAAATCAGAACCCAAAGTCTGTTGAGGAATAACACCTCAATAGTCGGCGTTATCAGTTCAAGAACTCCCTCACTATTGTCTTTTCCTTCCTCTCTTAAATTGCCGAGGCAGGTTTCTCCTCTCAGAGCAGCAAGTGTCCTAAGCTTTTTCTTGGAATCTCTCTTGCTAGTACAACTGCCTTCACAAGAAAAAGACATCGAGGATATCAAAAATTGTGCTAGCCAGCTGGAGAAAGGGAAAAGAACCTGCATCTCCACACAGAGATAAAATGTCCAGTCCTTTAATAAAACACATCTTTGTAGCTCCAGGGACAGTTCTTGAGGTCCTCTGTTGTGCTCTGGATAATAGTTTCTAGGCAATCTGGAGAAAAACATGGAGACTGTAATAGCAGGATATATCGTAACCCACGAGCTGAGGCTCCCTGGGTCTCCCCAGGTGCACAAAGCCAACTGCCCTTCTTGCCCACACCCCAGGGCGTCCCTGTTCCCTTTTCCAAGTACAAGGCAAGGCACTGGCAGAAGAGAGAACTACGTGCCTGGCAGCTGGAAGAGGAGGAAAGAGAAAATATGATGTGCAATAAATCAGGTACACACACAAAATAAGCAGGGCAGGCCGCCACACCATCCAAATGCTGCTCTGCATTGTTTCCACCGTGATGATCTTTCAGCATGTCACGATGCTGAGCCGTGATGACACGGGGCCAGGAAGCACAGATCAGCTGCACAGTAAAAAGGTCATGTAATGGCTGTGGCCCTCTGAAACACCGAAGAGACTTTCTTTACCTCCGAGCCCCTTGTTCCGAGCTAGAAGACGTGTCTGTGTCAAAATAGAGAACAACTTGTGGAGCAGTTAAGATAAATATGACCTACATGAGCTCTGTTTTCAAAACAGCTTATCGCTGTATCAGAGCCTAGATTTCAAATAGCGTTTAAAAAATGTTCTTTAGAAGTAACTTTCTGTCCATAACAGGGCTTTAAGCACCCCGAGGGCCTGCTGGCTTGCTTAAGTTAGAGGCCAAAAATGTACATAATTGTCAATCTTTAGCAAGACAGGGAGTTCTTTTCTAACCAGAGCCAGAAATACTCCCTCTGGAGAAACCTCACAAACAATGTGGAAAAAGCTTTTGAACTTCTCATGGTACAAATTTTAAAATGAAGACAAGACTGGAATAAGTCGGTCTTGAGCTTTTCCTGAGCTCTGCTGCATTGCCGTAGCTTTACAGAAATAGATGTCTCGTAGCAGCATCTCCAGAAGGAAAAAAAAGAGAGAAAAGAACACTTGTCTTATACTGTAACTCACTACTGTAACTCGCTTTTCTTTAAATATGAATACAATTATTAAAGCAGTCAACCATCTTAATCTGCATAAATCTCTCTTGATCAACCCCAACTGTATTTTTGGTGTAATAAACAGGCTACATTCCCAGAGAAGCAAATGCATATCATTTCAGACAGATTCAGGGACAGCAAAAACAATTTTGGTTGAAGAGCCTGGAGGAATCCCGCAGCATTAAACACTGAGCTATTCAAGTTTACACAAAGTAATTGAGAATACTTCTCCTTATAATTTAGCCCAACCCTTATAATCTCAGATTATAATGAAAGGTGTTTTTTTTTTCCTTTCAACATTACAACATTATGATATTCAGTGATAAACAACCAAATTATTTCATTAATTTCAGAAAAAAAAAAAATAATTGAGGGAGACTCTGCGATGGTGTCAACAAGCAAAAGGCAGGGTGCAACGTGGCCCAGAGTACTGAGGATTAATCCCAGGGCTGTGAGCCCGACCTTGTGTTGTCCTAGGGGCCGTGTGCCACCTTACACGGTGCTGAGCAGCGTGTGTACGGTGCAGGACAGTGCAGGAGCACCTGGTACTCCGCGTGTAGGGGACAGTACCTGCAAGAGCAGAGCATCGAGCCCTCGGTGTATCAGAGCCTGGGCTGGCCACAGAGCGCCTTGACGTGTCCCAGCTGTCACAGAAGGAAACCAGGTGTGCTCTTCTGCAGGGGTCAGAGCCAGGCAGCACCCTACGTGCTCCGCATCAGCACGACTGGATGAACCCTTTCCGGCTCTGCAGAAACGGGGGCAACGTTTGAGAGGTGAATAAACCACGCTAACCCTTTGAGTGCCTCGGAAAAAGAGCGTGCGTTCAGCAGAGGAGCACCTGCATGGCCTCGTGGATGTTCTTTGTACAGCGTGTCCTGATTAGAAAGGAAGCGAGCTTAGCGGAGAATCCAACTGAGACAAACAGTTCTCTGGTTTTATTTGGAAAAGCTGCAAACCTGTTACAGTTCACTTGCTAGTATGAAAGCTAGCTTGAAAAATGCCACTGCCGAGATCAATGAATAATGGCTTACGTGGAATAAGGGCAGCCAGGCTGAAGAACACAGTGGAGTGGTCTGGGGGGGGGAAAGAGCAAATGCTATAGGTCCACCAGTCCTAAATACAAACTGTGACACCGTCACAGCAAAACTATCTGAAAATGGGATGTATTTTACTTTATTTCTAAGCTGCTTTTGTTCTGTGAATCCAATGCCTGTAATCTTGCTGTTTTGCATTCCCCCCTTCCCCTGGGCTTCAAAGATTCTTTTGGTTGCTTGTACAATCTTACCACTGCAGTACTCCAACTATATAAAGCACATGTAAGGATAGATAAATGCACCTATTATTACTACTTCACGAAAACAGGAAAGTTATTCATTGACCAGCCTATTTTTTTTAGGCATTTCTAATAAACACATCAGATCTGTATCTAAGTGGTGATAAAAAAAAAAAAAAAAAAAAAAAAAAAAAAAAAACACTCTGACCTTGCATTAAGTTTATCCCACATCCTCCTCCTCATGACTGGTACAACTTTAGAGACTTTTTATCTGCATTCTCTGTGAATCGATCATGTCTCATCACTGCCCAGTAACCCTTCAAGCTCATTTCCAGCACCCACTGGCACACACAAGAAATTAGCTCTCTTGGAAACGCCAAGCTAGGGAGCCAGTGGAGAGCAACTCGCAGGAAAGAGAGGAGGCAGTACCCTCCCCCTCCGTTTTGGCAACCATCGTGTTGGTCATTTTGCTTTGTATACTGTATGTTCCTTTCTGTCATGCTCTGCCCTTATGCTGTCTTTTAAGGAACAAGCTCTCTGGCAATGAATAGAGTCTTTATATGCTTGGAAAACATTTCTAGCACGTTGTAGACACAATTGTGATATAAATAGTCATTGTTTTCAGAATTTCCCTACCACCGCTCTTTTCTTCAGTTTTGTCACTGGAGCACAACCTCTATGGAATTGTTTTGTGCCCCTGGTGAAGTGCTATAACCATAAAATATGGCAAATGTTTTGTGTATTTGAAAATGGATTTTGTTGATCTTGTTTTGTTTTTTTCTGTTGACCACGCTGGGAACACAGTAGTACATCAAGACAGCCTGAAGTAGTTCAGCACATTAGTAACCGTAAAAATTAAGACCAAGACCTTTAATTGCATCCCAAAAGACATGTGGGAAAGAGGGAAAGAACAAAGGAGTTTTTAAGTCAAATTTGCCCACGAATTAATAACTATCATTTGGTTTTAGCCAGACACCATATTCGTACCTTGGTCCTTTTCTTATTTGTTTCATGGTTGGACTACCGGGCTCTGAGCCTGTGACTTTCATCTCCATTATGTTTGCCAAAGGAGTACACAACAAACACAAAAGGTCTTTAACTCTTCAGTTTCTCCCTGGCATTGTTTGCATTTCTGAAGTTTTTGAAAATAACAGGCTTGACTCTTTCACCATTTAGCCTGGTTTAACGATGCTCTACGTCCAAAGAATTCAGCCGTATTAATCTCAGCTTAAAGCACGCTAGAGGAATGCCTAGTATTTCTGACCTACCTCATATTGCTGTAGTCAGTGAACAACTGCCATTAAGCCTAGATTAAAAATCTGTCCCCTTTATGCTCTGGACTTAAAATGTGGTTTTAAACTACTTCCTTCTGCCTCTACCATTATACTGTCCTCCCTTTAAGAGCCATGAACACAGAAATTACTAACCTGTGACTCTGTTTTCAGTTCCCAGCTTTTCCAGTTCTTTCAGCTTTTCTTTATTTTAACTTCAGCCTTGGCACTTGCTGATCGCATTCAGGAGATTTCATGGCCATGACACGACCTTGTCCTCTCAGTCCTCCTTTTGCCTTCCTCATAATTCACCCTGTTTTTCCTTCCCTTTTTCTGTGTGTGTACCACAGGCATTTGTAGCCTTGGCACACTTTGCTTCTGCTTTGACATCCTTCACGTAGCACACGCAGTGTCCAACGCCCCTCTAAGGCCTACTGATACATCAGCTCATTTTAAACCTGGTTCTCTATAGAGAGACGGTGAGAACGAGCCTTATCGATAGCGTGAATGTAGCCATCTTACAGGACTGTATTACAGTCTTAGGCCTCACGACAGCCTGTGAGGAGGGAAAGTGTTGGTATTTCTGTTTGAGAGGTGAAGAAGAATGGATTTGTCCTAAGTCACATGAAAGCCTGTGGCAACGTAGAGGTAGAAAGCCCAAGCCACTCATCTTGGGTTACCAACCAGACGGCTAACCTCACCTTTCTCCCTCCGAATCTAGATATTGCTCATTTCTTTGACTCTTTTTGGATTTTAGGATGGATTTCTGACCAGAAAGGCGGTGTGCACCAGCCGAGGGCTGCTGCCTCTCCCCCCGGCAAACCCATGGAAGGAGCGCGCCTGGGCTGCTCACCGGCTGCCTCTGAGGGGCACCACGGCCACCCCAGCCGCCCGGGAGGCGTCGTGGCGGGCACCAGGCGGGGACACTTTGGGGCAGAGATCAGCGACAACCCCCTCCCGTCCTAAATCCCCCCTCCTCAGAGCCGGGCTCCCCCGCCCTGCCCGGCTCCGCCCGCCCGGCCGCCGCGGCCCCGCCCGCCTGACGCGCCCGCGGCGCTGTGGGGCTGGAAGTGGCGTACGTGCGGAGCGGGCCGCGAGTGTGGCGCCTCCTCCTCGCCCCGACACAGCGCCGGGCGGCCGGAGAAGGAGGAGGAGGGAGGAGAAGGAGGAGGAGGAGGAGGAGGCGGCAGCCGGCGGGCAGCGAGCGGCGCCCCCCGCCCCGCACCGCGCCACCCGCCCGGCCGGCGATGAGGCGGCGCTAGCGGCGATCGCGCCGCACGGGAGGGAGGAGGAGGAGGAGGAGGCAGGCGCCGGGGGGGGCCCCCGCGGCAGCCCCGCGCCTCGGCCGCCCCGAAGGAGGCCGCGGGCCGGCGGGGGCCGCGGCGGCGCCGGGCGGCCATGATGCAGTGAGCGCTGCCTCCCCGCGCGGCCGGCCGGGGGCCCGCCTTAGCGCCGCGGCCGCCCGCCTCCTTACATAACCCCGAGCAGCGCAGCGCAGCGCCATGGCGAATGACAGCGGCGGCGGGGCCGGACAGGGCGGCGGCGGCGGCGGCGGAGGTGGCGGCGGTGGCGGCGGCGAGAGCAGCAGCGGGAGCAGCAGCAGCAGCAGCAGCAGCAGCAGCGAGAGGGACCGGCAGTACTGCGAGCTGTGCGGGAAGATGGAGAACCTGCTGCGCTGCGGGCGCTGCCGCAGCTCCTTCTACTGCAGCAAGGAGCACCAGCGCCAGGACTGGAAGAAGCACAAGCTCATCTGCCGCGGCGGGGGCACGGCGGCGGCGGCGGCGGCAGCGGCAGCCGCAGCAGGGGGCGCTGCCGAGCCCCGCGCGGGGCTCCCCCCGCCGCAGCGGGCTCACGGCGCGGGGGGCGGCGGCCGCCCGGGGGGGGCGGCGGCGGCGGCGGCCCCCGGCAGCGAGGCTCCCGGCGAGGCCGCCCCGCTCAGCCACAACCACGTCGGCGGGGCCGCCGCTGCCGCCGGGGGGGAGGCGGAGGCGGCGTCGGCGGTGCCGGGCGGGGAGGCGGTGCTGCTGTACCGGGACAAGTCGAACCTGTACCCGGGCGGCGGGCAGGCGGGGCCCGGCGGGGCCGCGCTGCGCCCCAACGGGCAGACCAAGTCGCTGGTGCCGCAGCGGCTGGCGCTGGAGTACATCGTGCCCTGCATGAACAAGCACGGCATCTGCGTGGTGGACGACTTCCTGGGCAAGGAGCTGGGCGGGCGGGTGGCCCAGGAGGTGCGGGCGCTGCACCACACCGGCCGCTTCACCGACGGGCAGCTGGTGAGCCAGAAGAGCGACTCGTCCAAGGACATCCGCGGCGACAAGATCACCTGGGTGGAGGGCAAGGAGCCGGGCTGCCAGACCATCCGCCTGCTGATGAACAGCATGGACGATCTGATCCGCCACTGCAACGGCAAGCTGGGCAACTACCACATCAACGGCAGGACGAAAGTGAGTGGGGCGCGGGGGGCAGGGGGCCTCCCCCTGAACTGTGGGGTTGGAAAATAACACAAATAACAACACAAATAACACAAACCCGAAAGCAGCAAACCCACAAACAGACTCCCAAAAACGCGGCCCAGGCGGTGCTGGAGCTGCGCTGGGTGTTCCCAAGATCTTCGCACGCTTTTCGTGTTATTTCATTTTATTATTTTTTTTCCTGCCCAAATCACTATTTTTTTTCTCTCTGTCGCCGTGTCTTGAGGCTTTCACCGAAAGCCAGTCAAGCTCGCCCATTGTGCCGGGCTGATTTGCAATTCTCCCCGAGCCCTTGAAAATGAAATTCACACCCCGGGTAGAAAGGCCCGGCGATGAATATTCATCAGGAGCTTTTCACTTTTTTAAAAAAGGGGACGGGGAAAGGGAGGGGGGGGGAGAGAGAAGCCCTGCACGCTTTGCTGCTGCCCCCGGTGCAGCAGAAGGGAGGCAGTGAGCTGCCCAGCGCCGGGGCCAGCCACAGGCAGGCTGTTGTTGCTGCAGCTGCAGGACCTCAGCTGCTGGGGAGAGCCTGGCAGGGAGGAGAGAAGGAACAGCCCCGGGTTTGTGCTGGGTGCGCTAAATCCCAGCTCCTCCGATACAGAAAGTGGGTGGGAATTTCCTTTTTCTTGTGCTTTTTTTTTTTTTTTTTCTTCCTTTTTGAAACGAGGTCTTTGTGTACCTCTGGTTGAACCGGTACTGTGCTAAAGCTCTCAGCAGGGACGTGGTCTGGATTTCCCCCCCACACCCCCGTTAGCTTGGATTTTTTTAAGCCAATCTATCTTGCAGACGGCTCTAAATCTCTTTAAGGCCCCAGCGCTTGAAACTTGCGCTCTAAAAATATCTGTGGCTTTACTGGGTTTCAGTTTTGTGCAGGAAAGAGGAATACAGCTTCTGTTTCCATCTGCAGCGGTATGCTTCTGTAAATGATACGTGCCAGGGCTTTACAAAAGGGCTTTTGGCATTGTAATGCCGGATCACGCGTGTGATTCCTGAGCTGCTGCATCTTGCCTTTCTCAGTGGTGACTGATGCTTTTGCTAATTGTCAAAGAATGTCTGTGGATGGGGATGAATCCCTCCGTACAGACAGCTCGGTGTTTTTCTGGGGTGACGGTAAAGTGATGAAGGTTGTGTAGCACTGCTTGGCTTTCGGACACTGCTGAAATCCCCGTGTATTTCAGGGATCAGAACAGGTGCAGTCCTTTGCTCAGCGGTACAGAAATGCTTCACTTTGTCTTCTCGTGTTCCCTTGATCTTCTCCCAGCAAAGCCAGAGCTTGTAGCATGCTGCTGGGTTTGTCAGCATCGGTTCATCAAGTCCGCAAGGACAGCAGCAGTGTGGTGGCCTTCACCTTCTCTCCTTCTGCTGTGCCTTTCCCCTGCCCTTGCTGTCACTGCACGTTTAGGCCAAGGGCTGTGGCAGGGGGCAGCAGTCTGTCAGCCCAAACTTCTTCCACGTGTCCCTTCAGAGCTCCTGGCCCTCTGTAGGGGGCTGGAGGAAGAGGAGTAAAAGTGGAGACACCTGTGGGTTACCTGAAGTCATTTTTTGTCTTTGCTTCTCACCTCACTCCTGCTTTTTCTGGATCTGGGTTTGATTGCGTTCCTGCAGGAGCTGCAGTGTACGTGGGTGTTATTCTTAGCAGTACAGAGGAGTACGCCGTGGAGATGCTGTAATAGCCACAACAGGTTACTCTGGACCTTTTCTGTTGGTGCACTTTGCGTGGTGAGCTGCTCGGTTCATTTAGCCAAATACAGCCCATTTCTAAATTTTTATGAATATGTGGGATTTTGCCACTCACAGCAACAGTTTTTTTTAAAATGAATGGTCCATGTGTAATCTTTATTCTTACTGGTGTTACTTCAAGCGATAGGACCAAAATGGACAGAAACGTAGCACGCACTGACTAAGCTCTACCTAATAATTTACTACTCCTGCACGTAAATATTGCAATAACCCTGTGGTTCACTGAGCTGGTGCGTGGAGAACTTAGCGTACTGTTTCACTGAGGGCACTAAATAAGCCAGTTGGCAGTAGTCACTGGTGAGACTGGTAATTCACGAGCACCCGAACCAGCAGAAATCCAGCCCCTGGGGCCCCCCTGCTGTCTCTGAAGGCAGGGGTTAGGGCAGTAGGGGTTTGGGGGCAGCATGGTGCAAGCCCTCTGCGGTTGGGTGCCTCGTGCAATTGGGGACAGGCATTTTTTTAAGTGTAACTTTTTTTTTGTTATTATTTTATTAGAATTCTGTATGTAAAACAAACAAAACCAAAGCAAAACACGCTTGCAGCCTGCTTTTTAAAATACTTTTGTTGTGTTCACTGCAGTGTCTTGGAAAACTAGCTTTGTTTTCGGGCGTTGTGCAAGGGTTGGCATTATGACCTAGGAGTCACAAGAGTGAATCTTCAGCCTTTACCAGATCTAGTTCGAGCTCTGTAAACAAGCATACCCTATCAGAGGGAATGAATCAGAAATACATCCACGCCACAGTGCGCTGAAATTCCTATCCTCTTTCTGGACTAAGCATTCAAAAGCATTTCTGTTAACTAAATAAACCTGTGAAGAGTTCTGTTCTCCGAGCTTCAGCTGGCAGCTGGGCACTTTCACAGGAATGGATGGATTGTTGGCCAAAGGTTTTAATGACGCTGTTGATCATGGGTTGTTTTTGACTGTGGGGGAAAAACAGCTGTGGATAAAATGCAAGAGATGATATGTAGGTTATAATTGCACCTTTAGCTAAGGCTCGACTTCTGTACCTGTGAGCGTTAGGGCCTTGAACTTGCCATTGCTTATACTGATTCTAGGTATGTTGTATATGAAAGGGAAAAGAAGTGGCTCTTAGTCCATGCCCTCCGCTCTCAGCCTGTAAAACCATCCGTGGGGGGAAAGCTACTTGTTTCAATGACATTTATTTTAGTTTAAACTGATGCACGTTTTCCAGTGCTAGTCTTGAAGGTAGAGGACACCAAGAAAGGTTAAATGTGAGAAATCTGAAATTATACATTTGCAAAGCATCTTGTTAGGGATTTTCTCTGGACTAACTGGGCTACCCTGAAATTGGTCTGCTTCAAGGGATGTGGCTCAGCCCAGACCAGACCATCAGCAGATTATTCTCCATACCTATTGCTATGCAGATACCTTTCAGCCTGAACTACTTTTGGCATGAGTATACAGTGCAGTCGCAGGTATAACACAATGGCTAACTATTTGCTCATCTCAGAAGGCCTGATTTACTACATTCCTTGCTTTTGTTCTGCTATTCTCTTTCTTTCCAGATTGTGCGGCTTTTTTTTCCCCTAGCAGCACATGGCACGGAGCAGCATACATGAGCTGCACTGTCTTTCCCCCACTTCCTGTTATTACTGGTTTTACTTCTTCCATCTTCTCCCAAAATGTTAACTCTCTCTTTCCTTTCTCTTATCAGTTATCGCACTCGTACGTGCGCATAGTTCTGTTTCCTGCCTGTCCTGTCCTAGATAGCCACTGGAGATAGAAATCTGCTCACCAGAGTCAGGGAGTGAACTACTCCTGAATCTCTCCCAGGTGAGAAGGTTTTTCCTCCGTCCCAAGCAGAGGCTGAGGAGGGAGGAGGCTTCATTATTTTATGTGTGTGTTGTTTTTTTTTTTTTGTTACGTGTCTGTCTCCTCTCGTGTGAACTCTGCTGATTATCTAAAACTTCAAGCCTTTTATAAATCAGAAGCTTGCTTCTTTTACTGGTGCTGCAGTAATATAGGGAGATCGTACCCACAGACAGGGACCCAGTGATCACCGTATAAGCAGGCATCTGATCCATCAACTGTCCATGCTTCAGCT